CCCCCGGCCCAGCCCCATCTCCAACTCCTGGGAGAACAGAAGACATCTGGAAAGGGGGCTGGAGAGAGAAAGACAAAATGCCATGAAGCAGAGGGTGCCCAGAGTCAGGAATAAGGAAACCTTTCTCTGTGCAGGCGTCCAGGCTGCTAGCTTGTAATCTGTCACCAGTGACTCCTCCTCCGTTAAAACTGCAGCCTTCACTTCCCGAGTTTCCTCCCCTGCCACCCCAGCCTGGGACTAAAACAGGAGCCGCAGGCTGCAGGAAATTCTAGCTGAGAATGGAACAATGCAGACCGTGCATACAGGGGTCTGCTTTAGTGATGTGGGCCTCGGGTTGCTGGCTGAGCCATGGACAGCTGTCCATCTGCTGGGGTCCAATGCCCCGCCCAGAGGAGGGGTTCTCCGGACTGCCCCCCATATGCTGAGGCTGTCACTCAGGAGGCTCCCAGGTTGTGGAGGCCAAGCTACGTGGGGCGGGGCGGGGAGTACGGGTCACAAAGCTGTTTCCCAATTTTTCAATTCAGGTGGACAGTTGGGACAATGACAAGACTAATGCCACTGACTGCATCTGCTGGAGAAAAGGAGCGAAAGCTTCCCCAGTGCAAGCCTCCTTGCAAAGGAGAGCCTGGAGGTCTGGCACTGTGGCCAGCTCCAGGGAGAAGGAAGGAGATGTCCTTTCATGGGACTCGGGAAGCCAAAGAACCTTGGCTCATCAAAGAGAAGGGGAGAGGCAAGAATCTCCCCCCACCCCCACCTCTGAGCCACGTGCACCAGGCCAAGCCCCACTCACCCCACTCACCGTCTCTGCCTCATTCAGCCTCCTTCTTGCAGTACCGGAGGCTCTCTTCCAGCCTGCAGCGGGAAGGAAAACTCCAGGGTCCCAAATTGCACATAAGTCAATCAACCTGTCACAAAGCAAAAGCACAAAGAGCCCCAGGGTCACTCTAGGAAAGAAAGAGAAAAGGTTTGTGGTTTGCAGTCTGTTCATTCACTGGGAAATTACATCGTTGTCCACACCCATTTGGAAAGTTTTGCTTAGCATAATGACATCTTTGTTTAAAGAAATTCACGGCACTGTGCAAGAAACAAGAGCAATTCTGCAAGGTGCCTAAACATGTCAGACTTTGGTGGTCTCTCTCATCCATAAGATCATTATTAGTGCCCTGACATCATAATCTAATTGCTTGATTCCCTGTTCACCTAAAGAAGTTAAGCCGTATCTTGGAGAATTTCTCCTATACCCATGGGGGAATTTACCCATAATTATCTCATTAATTGTCTTAACTTAGGAGAACTATTATTAGGTTTTTCTTCCCCACCTACAGATAATCAAACTGAGTTCACCATAAATAAATCTATAACATTGAAAGGAGATCTAATTTTAGGGTCAGGGGATATGGATTTGAAGTTCTAATTTGTTATGTTATTTAGGGTGGATCACTTCCCTGAATATGTCTCACAGTTTCTTCATCTGTAAAATGGGGAGAAGTTACTACTAGTTAGAACTTACAGGTTCAAGCCCAGTGCTAGTCCTTCTGGGCAACCATTTAACCTTTCTCGGTGCAGATAACATATCTCACTTAATCATTTGCTTTAACGTTAAAATGTGTCTGCAGGAAATGGTAAAATCCACCTTTGTAAAGGGGAATGTGGCAATGTCTATCAAAATACGCATGCACTCACTCTTTGATTGGCAATCCCAGTTCTAGGTATCTGAAATATATCCTATGTGCCTATGTTGTGATCTCTACTATTAAGTGGAAAAAACATGATAGGGAAAAGTATGTTTAATATGCTATCATTTATTTAAGAAAGGGAGAGAAATGCGAAGATAAATGTGTATCTGCTTATTTTTTTTCTAAAAAGACGATAAAAAGATAAAGCATAAAATAAAATTTAAGGGGCGCCTGGGTGGCGCAGTTAGTTAAGCATCAGACTCTTGGTTTTGGCTCAGGTCGTGATCTCAGGGTCATGAGATCAAGCCCCACGTTGGGCTCCTCACTCAACGAGGAGTCTCTTGAGACTCTCTTTCCCTCTCCCTCTGTCCATTCACCTCGTGCAAGCACTCTCTCTCTCAAATAAATAAATAAATCTTAAAAAAAATTGTAAATTTTAAAGACCTACAGAGGGGGAGGAATGAGGTGGACGGGACAGGGATAAAAGCTGGGTTTTATTTATTTTTAAAGATTTTATTTATTTATTTGACAGATAGAGAGACAGTGAGAGAGGGAACACAAGCAGGGGGAGTGGGAGAGGGAGAAGCAGACTCCCTGCTGAGCAGGGAACCCAATGCTGGGACTTGAACCCAGGACCCTGGGATTATGACCTGAGCCGAAGGCAGACACTAAAAGACTGAGCCACCCAGGTGCCCCAAAAGCTGGGTTTTAAATAGACCTTGTTGTGTGAATTTGCTTTGGAACATGTAAATATCTGACATAATTATAAAAGCACAATTAGTATTTTTAAAAGAAATGCCTAAAATTAAAATAAAATGCAACAAATGAGTTCATGTGTCCAGTTGGTTTGCACTACACATAGAGAAATTAAAACACAGTAATTTGACTGAATATACCTAAGCATAAAAGGAACTGCCCCACTCCCTGTGCCCCTCCAACCCTAAACTGTTTTCAATAATCATATTATTGATGGTACTGTTATATTCTTCTTATTGTTATTCTGAGAATTTTGTAGTGTATTGTGGGATAAGTCAAAGGAATAATACTACTAATGTTGCTGAGAAAAAAGAGTTTCTTCTTGAATGGTGATACAGATGTAAGATTGATGAGATCAGGTAAAAAGTCTATAGCCCTGATTGTTTACAGCAGTAACAGAATGAACTTCCTATGTTTTATCTTCCACACGTGCATGCATGCATGCATGAACACATGTGCACACACAAGCATACTCCCTAGCTCTGTTCACTGTAAGACCTAGAAACAAGGATCATCCCAGGAGGATTGAGCACCCCTGGCAATCAGTTTATGAACTCTAAATACTATCCCCCCCCCACCCCAAAGTAATCAGGCTTCCTCAGGGAAATGTCTGAAGCAGCAATTGTACAAGATAAGCCTAGAACATCTCATCAAACCAAAAGAGCAAATGCCGTGTCAAAGACTACAAGAGTCATGCCAAAAGGACTCAAAAGCCAACCAGAATAAGGTTTCCTTGGTCAAACTGGACATCAACAAGGATCATAACTGCAACAGATTGAAACATAACAAATATGTTACGAATCCGTAAGAATATCTTTTACAACTCCAAATAACCCATTTTGAGGCTGTTAGGGAAATACTTCATTATTTTGAAAATGGGTCAATAAAGCAAAAGAAGAAAAGGTGGGTAGGGGTATAGTGAGACAGGATTGGCCTTGTACTGATGATTGTTGCAGACAATGATGGGCATGTCTGGTTCGTCACGTAATTCTCTCCTTTGCAAAACATTTTCAAAATACAAATACATTTTAAGTGATAGAACAGACTGAGAAACAAGAAATCATTAGAATGCTAATTCTTTCAAATCATAGTTATTTAATCGTAACAGCAATCCAGTCTGATGATGAAGGATGCAGATATCATCATCCCCATTTCACACTAGAGGAAACAGGTGGAATAAACCCATTGAGTCAGTATTCAAACCCACATGTTCTTATCCCAAAGGCTCACTGTTCCACAGCTGCTTATTTAATATCTCTATTTGCATATCTGGGTTAATAAAATTTTCCTTGCCTATATGAGGACATCAGGGGGCTACAATGAGATAATGTGCGAGAAAGCACTTGAAAAACAAATCCTTGCACAAATATTTTACTGTCATTTGAAAACTGGGGGTCAGATCTGCCCTATGAGGTTGCTGTGAGTATCAAATGAGAGCTGTGATTTGAAGAGAGATGGATAGATATAAAGACAGACAGACAGAAAACCTTAAAGATGAGGAGGTTATAACTACCCCCAATGTTTTTATCATCATCACTCACAGGACTTCAGGGTTAAGTGAGAAGGGAGACTTAGAATCCATGGTAAAGACTCTCTACCTGACCCTGGGGTAAGAAGATTCCAGGAAGGACACCTGATGCTCTGGGGAGGAACCATGATCAAGAAAGACACCCAATATCCCACAGGCTGCAAGAAGAGTGGCTCTCAGTCACAGATGGGTGAGGACCACTCCCAGGTTGCTGGGCATCCTATGTATTGCCTCCAGCTTCTAGAAGGCCAGACACCTGCTGGGTTCCTCTGAACGAGGCCTGGGTTACAGGGGGCACAGTGGGCAGTGGAACATGCTCCCCAGCAATAAGGGGCAAGCAAAGCTTGTCCAACTGGTGACCAGAAGGAATGTCTGGGGCTGCTCACTGGCTCCCAAACTGCTATCTCTTGGTCTTCTTATCTCAGCGTCTGCGTGGGAAGTGTTTACAGATTTCTTCTTAGCAAATGTTTATTCTCAGATTGTCCTGCCCTTGGCCACAGCATAAAAGTGGGTCTGGGGAATCTCTAACACTTTCTTGCCTTAGAATTCTATGATTCTATAAGTGCATATTTCTGAAGACATACAAAATCAAAATCCTCCTGAGTCCTGGCTCATGCCCCTCCTCCCCTTGGATATTTCATCTATGCACAGGGAACAAAGACTTATTGTGCCTCTGTCTTTATTTCTTTCTGGAGGTTCTTACTTAAGCTAAGCATTTAAAAAATTATTTTACTTTTTTTGAATAGGTAATCCCTTCACATGATATGAAATTCAAAAGATGCCAAAGAGTATATAAAATACATTAAAAAGTTTATATGAGTATATATATAAGTAAATTCCCCTCCCAACCCCATCCCCCAGCTTCCCAGTTCCACTTAGCCCCTCTCCCTGGCCTGCCACTCTTACCAGTCTCTTGTGTATCCTTACAGAGGCTGGCTATTTATACAGAGATATACATTTTTTTTTAAATTACAACATACGATACATATTTTTTACCTACCTTACTTTTCTTGGTTAACAAACATATTAGATATCTTTCTATATTAGCTCAGGTAAAACTGCTTTTAGGAACTTCATAGCATTTCATTGTATGAACATATCATATTTATGTGCTCAATCCTCTACTCTTAGACATTTAAGATGTTTGTAATCATCAGATGTGGAAAATTGCTCCAATACATATCCTTGGATATATGTGATTTCTCACACTTACAAGAAAGATTATTTTTAAGATAAATTCTTGGATACAGAATTACTGGATCAAAGGGAATGTGGCCAAATTGCTCTCCATGAAGGCTGTGGCAGTTTATACTCCCACAAACAATATTTAGTTTCTGATTCCCACTTCTCCAATATGCTGTATTATTAGGGGGTTTTTGTTTGTCTGTTTGTTTTTGTTTTTGTTTTGTTTTTTTGGTCTTTGTGGTTCACTTATTATGAATGAATTTGAGTATTTTCTTTTTCTTTAATTGTTCCTATTCTTTGCTCATTTCTCTACTGGGTAGTTGGTTTATTCTTATCAGTTTGAAGGAACTCTTTAGTTACTAGGAAAATTATCTCTTTATCTATAAGAGGAGCTTAAAATTGTCCATGTCATTATTTTTATCCTGAATTTATCTGTGCACTAAATACATACTTTAGAAAAGAAGAAAAATCTCAAATCAATAATATGAGGTCCCACTTCAAGAAAGTAGAGAGGACCAAATAAACTCAAAGCAAGCAGAAGAAAGGAAACAAGAAATAGCAGAAATCAATGAACTAGAAAGCAAAACCAATATAGGAAATCAATGAAATGAGCTGGTTCTTTTTTCTTTTTTTCCTCCCCTAACATGAGCTAGTTCTTTGTAAAGATCAATACAATCAACAAACCTCTAGCAAAACTGAAAAAGAAAAAATTGCTAGTATCAGGAATGAAAAAGGGGATGTCATTAAAGACCTTCCAGAC